CAGGCAGCGTTGCATCCGCAGCTCCTGATCAAGAAACCATGGTACGTATCATAGCCGAGCAGACGGGCGTCAAGCGCGAGGAGGGCGACAACGAGTCCGCCTTGCAGGAGAAGGCTCGCCGCCTTCGTATTGAAATCATATGCCATGGTGGCACTGAGGATGCGGGCAACAACACGACAGAGTACAAAGGACTGCCAGGGGAAAGATATTCTAGAATCGAGATCGAGGGATTGAGTAGATCAATCGCTTCCCGACCGAATGCCGAGATCAACCGCGAGGCCATCGATCAGATCGGCCGTAGTCTCGCTCGCGGTCAGGATACTCGCTGGGGATCTCGTGAGCACCTCACCACCGAAGGGGCCCCATATACGATCCTGCATGATATCGCGCTATGTCAGAATTGCGGTCGAGACCTATCCCTTGGGATCGTCACAGGTGATGGTACCCTTTGTGACATCTGTTGGCAGTACACCGTGGCCGTAGGTGCTACGGGCAAGAGTACCGCCGTCCAGAGCGACCTAGCATACCTCCAGAAGCTGACAAACTGGATCAAGACGACGCTCTCCCGGGATGAAATCACGAGGTACATGAGAGACGGAGCGCAAGTCATTATGACGGGCGCGCGATCACACCCAGGTAATGAGAAAGATGCGCTGAGGAGAATGGCTAATGTGTCTAGGAACAGGTATCAGAGGTGGGTCGAATCTGGTAGCCCTCCTGCACACCAGCGCAGACTAATGGGCGAAGCCAGTGACGACAGACCTCTGTACTACCCATATGCCAATCTCGTGCAGCGCTTTCTCAATGATTCGAAGTTCCACCACCAAATGACAGGCGCTCGCGTGAACGCGGGCAAGAAGGCCTGGAGCGTGGACGACATGCGTGATGCGTGGGACATCCTCGACGTCAGCATCAGGACAGGACAGGCTGGTCGGAAGAAATGGTGGCTGAACGAGGGCCGACTCGACAGGCAGACGCGGCAGGCTCGCGGACTTGTCAAGATTGCCCTCCCTAGAAGGGATGGCACCCGTGAAAAAGTCATTCAGCGCAAGCTTGCTGCGATTGCTAACGAATTGCTGGACCCCCTCGATCCGTCACATACCGACCAGAGGGGGGTTGATTCAGGGATGAGAACCGATCCGACCGATCCTGATACACACTCCCATCAGTCAGATGATGCCATGGAGCCGCGCCACCCGCCGCCGCCGCCGCGCCCTGCCCCTGGCGATGCTGCGCAGTCCAGCGCCTCTGGCGCGACGGACCGCACGCCCGCGGGGCCACGCGCCAAGCGAGCGCGCACCACAGATTACGCCGCCTACTGGCGCGACGACCTCGAGGACAGCCATTGGGGTCTCAGATATTGGAGCTACCACAGCAATTGTTGGATCTACATCGCGATGAACTACGACGAGTTCGTATACATCCACGACATCCAGTACAACGATTGGTTTCGCCACTGGATCCCGAGGACATATTGGGAGACATTCACGACGAGCTACGTGGCGTACAATGGTCAGAGGATGTGGGACCGCAGGTTCTACAAGAACGGCAACGCGTAGTGAGTCGGCCGCAAGGCCCACCGCTCAAAGGCTTGAACTTCATTGTACTCAAAGTTCGCCTTGAGCGGTGGCTATTACATACTTCTAGGCCACTTCATTATACAACACAAGTGGCCACACACACAAACACGCATCTTTTGCGATAACCGAGGCAGCCTCCTAAGGAGCAATGCCAACGGGAGCCGCCACATAGAATTTATATACATGCAGCTTTCGTGTTTATCAACACGACATTTTGTCTGGCCAAACATTTGCTTTTACACATAGTTGCGTCCAGTAGTAAGATCGTGTTCGTCAACGCGATCTTAGCATGCATATATATATATATATATATATATATATTTAAAAAAAAAGAATTTAACTACACTGCGTTGATAATAATATGATAGCTGGTGGCGACACCTGCCTCGCAAAAGCGAGGCAGCTGTGTTAATGCTCAGATCTTCTTTCTCCGCCCACCCTTGTCCCATTCTTCTCCGCCCTCGAGTGCCGAAGCGTTTTGGGGGGCGCGCCGAGGGGGCACCAAAGTGTGCTTGGCGAAGAAATGGGGACCCAGGGTGTTCCTTCTTACTTCCCTCTGCAGCTGAGGCCACACTGAATTTAAGCTCAGCTGCCTGCAGACTTAAGGATTAAAAGGAGTAAAAGGGTGACGGATTCTCTTCCTCTGTTCCCGAGTCCTGCCCTCACGGGCGGGATTCGGGACGGGGTGTGTGAATAGAACCCGTGTAATACCCTCATATATACTCCTTATCCTTACCTCTCCTGCGCCTGGCCGTTTGGGCTCAGGTATTGAGACAGATCGATCAGACCTTTGATCGTGCAGGAGGGAAAGACATCCATCTATCCCTCCTTCTCTCTGCCAGCGGATCAGGGGTTCTGTACCCTTGTACTTCAACCCCATACACATCTTCTTGAGGCGCTCATGGGCCGTTTTGGGGGCCTCTTGTGCAGACTTTGGGTCCTCTGGTTCTGGAGCCGTAATTGCGCTTCTTGGGGTTCCTTGTACGAGCTTACTGGGCCGTCTTGGGGCCTCTTGGGCCTCTTTTGGGTAGTCTTGGGATTTCTTGGGGCCATTTGCGGGGCTTGTTGTGCCATTTTGGGAGCCTCTCGGGGGCCTTTTGGGCAGTCTCGGTGCCATATTGGAGGCCTTTTGGGCCGTCCTGTGGGCCCTGAAGCGCGAAAGCGCGAGTATGTCGGAATCCAACGAAAAGATTCCAGACAAATCAAGAATTTGAGCATGTTGAAACCCTCTGGAGGGTCCTCGTGGGACCTTCCGACGGCATCTTCGGGGCCTTTTGGGCAGTCTTGAAAGCATCTTCGTCTCGGTGGCCTCACTGGGTTGTCTTGAGATTACATTGGGGCGCTTTTCTGTTATTTGGAGGTAAGTCGGGCCGCTTCGGGGGCATATTGGGCCGTCTTGGAGCCTTATTCGCCCGTCTTGGGGCTATCTTGCAGGCCTCTGATGCCGTCTTCGGCTCTCGGCAGCCAGAGAAGGCGAGAACGCCGAAAATTTAAAAAAGAAACCCAACGTTGATCAAACGGAGGTTGGGGAGTGAGATCGCACTGGAACGGAGAGCCCCCCACCGGGAAATCGGTGTCGGTTTCGTGTTCGTTTCGTGCGTGCGGGAGGCGAAGCTGCGTGGGTGCGCGCGAGGAATGACCTTGCCGTCGCTAGGGCCGGTTCGGATGCAGTGGACCGCCCCTCCGCCCCCGTGGGCGCGGGGTGTCCCGGGGTGTCCCGCCGTGGTGTCTTATGGTGTCCCGTAGGGCGGGCGGTGGCTGGGGGGGTGTCCCGCCTTGGTATCGACAGTGAAATCGATCGTGAACTCGATCGTGAGGTCGACGGTGAGGTCGCTAGCATGGGATGGATAGTGAGATCAAAAGTGAGATTGATAGTGAGGTCGATTGTGACATTGATTGCGAGATCGAATGTGAGATCTATAGAGGAATTGATAGTGAGATCGGTAGTGAGATCGAAAGCGAGATCGATGGTGAGAACGATAGCGGCATTACATCGCAGCGCAACATCGTCATCACGCGTCGTCGCTAATTCGAGGGCGCGTCACCAGGATCGTCATCAGCACACCCATCGCATGTGCCAGCAGTTGATTCTTTCCTGCCCACCTCCCAACCTCCTTATCACCCGAATGGTGGTCGTATACGTAAGTCTGACTTCCTGGAGGTCCTCTTAGAGGCGTCTTGGAGGTGTCTTGGGGCGTCATGGGCCGTCTGGAGGGCATCTTGGGCCGCCTTGGAATCAGATTGGGTCTTGGTGGCATCTTGGGCCTTCTTGGAGGCGTCTTGCGAGCCGCCTTAGAGGCCGTCTTGGAGCCATATTGGGCGGAAAAGCCTTTGCCCCCCACCTTTTTGAGGCCCCTTGGAGACATCTTCGGCGGAAAGCGTGGCCAGTTGTGCTGAGACCACCAGTGGCAATTTGTAGGAATGGCCAAAGAGAGCTCGAAGACTTGGCACAGAAATGGGCCCCTTTAAAGAACGCAAATAGGGCGGCGAATCTAGTGGCTGTAGGCCCAACCCGCCACCGCGCCTGGATTGTGGACCAGAGGCCTCTTAGATGCCTATTGGGGGTCGTTGGGGGTCTCCTGATGGCCTCTTGGGGGACTCCTGGCGGTGTCGGAGGGTATCCTTGGGTCTTGGGCTTTCAATGTTAGTCGTTGCTACTAGCGGCTGTCTTTGGAGCGATTTGGGGATCCTCTTGGGGGCATGGAGGCCGTCTTGGGGCGATCTTGGGGGTCCTCATGGGCCGCCTCGAGCGCTCTGAAGAAAGAGTAGGCAAGGATACCCGAAATAATTGAAACACTCTAGGGTGGCTCCTAGAGGGCTTCAAGAGGCGCCCAAGAGGGCTCCAGAACGGGCCCTGGGACCATCTTAATACATGCCGGACAACGCGGGGTCCTTAATTCGCGCTGCATCCCCAGAAGGCCAAAATTAGCCCACAACCCGAGGGGAGTCCATGGGTGTGCCTTCTCGTTGATACAATGTTGTGCGCTCTGAAGACCCGCAGCGTTCCCGTCCAGACCCACAGGAGAAGGGGGGTCTGGGAGGGTTGAACCCCTCCCCGAAGGGGAAGAAGAAGGTCGGAAGAGGAGATGTAAACCACCTACGACCTGCGCCCAAAAGGGCTGGTGGGATTCGATGGGACTTGAGGACACTTCAATCAGTGCCTACGGCACGATGGAGGATACCGCCATTATTGCTACCCGTGCCACAGCTGATTGTGTTGTTGGTGTTGGATGTCTCCAAGACAGAGTTGACAGGGTCGATAGTACTTAGTGCCTGCAGCTTGCGGCGTCTCTTCTGATGCTCCCAGCGAGTGGAGCCGGTCTCTCCGACGAAGAGTGTCTTCGGGGTCCAAGATGCAGTTCTACAGGCGCAGGAGGAGGGGACAGGAGCAAGAGGATGGTGAGGAGGGCGCCCGCAGAGGCTCCCCGAGAGAACGGGTCGGTGCCTTGACACGTGCGTCCACAAGGCAGCGCTGCGCCGAGCTTGCGGGGAGGCTTAGACGGCCTGCATCGAAGAATCCAAGCATGCGTAAGCATAGACTCTGGGAGGTCCGCACGGACTTCGTGGATCGTCATTGGATCCCCCCTGACGGCGCCTCGGTCGCCTCCCCCTTTGGCGCGCTTCGCGTGCCAGAGGAAGGGGATCCTGCGCCGACCCAAGAAATCCGCGCGGACCTCCGAAAGTTTGCCGATGATGCAGGTTGTTGTTAGAGAGCAGTTGTCCCCGCCACCTCCTCATGTTCCAGGGAAGCTCGCTGTCGTCGCATGTCCTTGGCCCAGAGTAGGACGAACACTCATCTAGCAGTAGGCGCGACGTTCGGCTGCGAGCAAGCGTGTCCGTCGATATCCAGTAACGCTCTGGGTTCGTACGTATGGGCGCGAAGATAAGTGTGCTTCGCCGTCTTTGCCAGAGAGCCATTCTTTCAGGGGGCGGCAAAGATTTCCACGATTCGCGTGTCGCGCGGCGCGAAGGGCGAAGTTAGGGGATAGTGCAAGAACACCGATGCCAGCGCTGACAAATCCTTGCGCTCCCTCCACCTTCCACCTTGCCTTGTCGGCGGGGCAGCTGTTCCAAGGCAGGAAGATGCGGGTGAGGATGTGGGCAGGAAAGAGCAGGGAGGGCAACAACGTTGAGGGTCGAGGGGGTGGGGGGGAGGGGCTCCTGGACATACCACTTGACGGCCTCTTGAGCCGTACTATATCGTGGCCAGGGCGCCATGTACAGTATCGCGGCGTAACCACGGGGAGAAGGGGGATAGGAAGAGGAAACGCTCTACACCACTACGCCCAGAGGGCCTGGTGGGATTCTGCATTCGTCCGCTTTTCGAGCCTCGTGCCCTCGATCAATATCTGTTTATTTGACGCGCCATCACACCTCGCATTGCACTCTTGTGTCACAGACGTACTCTCAATAATGTAATGTGTGTATATTTACATGTATATTCAGTGCTTGTGTGACTCTCGATCCTTGTAGCTCTCTATATTTGTCTCGTGTGTCTTTGCCTCTCTCTCTGTCTCTCTCTCTCTCTCATCTCCCTCCCTCTCCTCTATCTTACTCTATATCTAACTCACTATCTCCCTTCCCCATCCATGTATATTTCTCTCTCTCTCATTATCTCTCTCTGTGTCTCTCTCTCTCTTTCCCTTTCTCTCCCTATGTATTGTTCGCCCTATGCCTTCTGACATGTACACTCTGAGCTGCCATCCATCTTCCAGCATTGTATCTGACAACGGTCGCAAATAGTCTCTCGAGGTATCTATATTTGTCTGTCTTTCTATCGTTCCGTACTTCATCTCTCTCTCTCTCTTTCCCTCTCTCTATGTTACGTTTTACTATCGTGCCTATTCTGTATACTCTCAAGGGTCGATATACCCTCTGTTCTCTAACCTCTATTCTCCATCCGCTCTGCTTAACTACGTCTTGGAGGCGCCCTGTTGCACGCTCTTCTCTATTAACTCTCATAAGAACTCGACCACCTGAAATACCCACCATACCATGAACCCTGGACCCGGAACCAGGAACTTGGGAGACCGGCCGCCCACCGACATCGGCCCGGAATCAAAAACCGCGAACCTCGGACCCGGCCGCCCAACGAAATCGGCCGCGCCATTATCGATCATTTTTTTCATTCTTCGATACGACCCTTCAGTGCAAGCGCTGATGGGGGTGTAGTTTCTGTTCCCACTGTCTACTTTATACTTTCTCAGGCTCTCGATTTCTCTTCCTTTCTGTCGATATGTGTGTACATATATATATATATATATGTATATGAATACATCTAGACAGACAGACAGGCAGACAGACAGAAGGACAGACAGACATGAATACTGTTTCGTTTTCCAAACAGCTTTGCACGCCCCACTCGCAAGCCGCCTGCAGATGTGAACGGTCCGTTCCATCGCCGTTTTTGCTCAAGTTTTTCGGGCGGCAGCGCCATCCCAGCTTGTATGGGAGTCCTTGGGCTCCTGAGCAAAGCAGCCCGCGGCGCCATCGCCATACTCGATTCGGTTGGGCCAGGGCTGGGACCGCTGGCCGAGGAGGCCTCCGACTGCGCGCTGGCTGTGGGCTCGTTCGGGAGCATCCGATCGCTGGCCGTCCTTTGTCTCATTGCAGGCTTCATCGCTGGCGTAAGCTTGACCCTGTGCTGCTGCCTCGGTGGACATGTCCTATCTACGACCTGGGCGTCGCGTTCGCCTCTTGTGGGAGGTGGGCGGTACTTGTCAGGATCGGATCTTGTTGTGCGAGTGCCAGAGCTCGGAGTGCGAAGCAGAGCTGGAGGTGACGCCGAGTCCGATGGAGATCGCTGGACACCGCGTGTGGTACGCCCTCACTCCAGACCTGGACGTGTACCCGCACATCCTGTCGGAGGGCCACCTCTCAGGCTTCGCGGCTCTGAAAAAACGACGGGTCGCCGATGACGGAGACGGCGTTTGGGCGCCGGTGGAGGGCAGCGAGTGCGGCATACGGCGCCGAGTGGGAGCCGACCGCGCTCGAGGTGTGCGAAGCTCTGGAGGCGGTGAGGCCACGCTGCTTGTCCCTCCAGGGCGGCGAGAAGCCTTCCAGGCGCATCAAGGGAAAGGCCTCGTGGAGGTCGACTCCAGCAGCAGCAGCGGCAACTAGCCCGGCGGAGGAGCTCTATCCAGGCATGCTGGTAGGTTCAGGTCCGCTGCCCGCCAACGACGGGCTGAACTGGTACGTGCTGGCAGGGGAGAAACCGACGGAGCTCAGGCAGGCGGTGCGCCACCACGACTTCGACGGATACCTGGTCGTGGGGAAGGTTGGCATCGCCACGCGGGGCGCCGACACCATGCTGGTGAAGGCCGTGGACCCCTCGTCGCCTGGCCCGGAGCTGGAGACCGACGCGCGGGTGCTGGACATCAAGACCAGGCCCGACGGCAGTCGGCATCGTCACTTCACCGAGGCCGCCCGACCGGCGTCGACCACGGAGTGGGCTGAGTGGCCCATCATGGGCGCGAGGACGGCAGCCTGGTGCCTGGAGTTTCTAGCACGCCAGGACCAGCATTCTCGGGCCCGACACATGAAGTGGGTCCACGAGTGCAGGCTGGAGGCCACGGATGAGGGCGTCGGATACCACGACCTCGCCATGCGCATGGCGGGGCTGGGCCTCAGCGTCGATCAGTTGAACCTGGGTGAGCTCGCCTCCTTCGAGCTCTTGATGCGGAAGGCCCAGATGGCCCAGTGGCGGCATCGTGATCGCCTTGCGGCCGTCCAGGGCGACGACCTGATGGAGGAGAGCTGCCTCTACCTCGGCACGGGCGAGGCCCGTGGGCTCGCGATGGTCGCGCCGGCGCTGGTCGATCACATCAACTCGGAGATGCACCGCGAGGCTCAGATCTTCAAGGAACGCCGCAAGGCGAAGGAAGAGAGGATGCTCTCACGAGGCGGCGGCAGCGGCGCTGCTGGGTCCAAGGCGGAGCTCCAGAAGAAGATCCAGCAGCAGGCCGCCGAGCTCAGGAAGATTCAGGAGAAGGGCACGGGGAAGGACCAGGCGGCCGGCCGCGGGGCCGGCCGGGGCCAATGACGCGGCCACCTGGGATCGCGCCCCGCGAGCTGCTGCCACTTAGCGGCTTCGCGGCGGCGCGAACTGACGGCGGCCCCGCTGGGTTGTCGAGGTCGGCGCGCTCACGAGTACGCTGCCGCATGCACGTGACGAACTGGGTCGCCGACGCGGCCGAGAGCTTCTTGAATGCCCTGCACGGTCGTGGCGGCGCCCGAGAACATTTTTCAGTTTCAGCCGGGCAGCAACGCAGCCTGGAATTCATGCAGTCCATCATCGAGCAGGCGGGCCCGCCTCCCTGCTCACCCGCGGCAGCCCACCAGGAGCTGTGCGGCCACCAGCCGGGCTACGTGACCGAGCCCGAGCAACCAGCCCAGTACCAGAGGGAGATCCTCTCCCTGCCGGGGCCGGGCGCGCGCTGCGATCCCAGCGACGTCCTGCGCGGCCTCGAGCACGATCAGCGGTGCGTTGGGAGGCATTTGTTGCGCCGAACGCCTGCACCTGACAAGGAGATCAAGGTTCACAACGATCGCAATCTCATGGCGGAAAGGCGGCGCTATGCGCAGTTCATCCTGGACCTGCACACCTCCAGCCTCGTCAGAGTCGGGGCCAAGCGCAGTGCCACGGTGGGCGTGTTTTGCGCGTGGAAGAGCGGGCGAGAACGGCTGCGGCTCATCTTCGATGCGCGACGTGTCAATGCACGGTTTCACGACCCTGATCACTCTCAGTTGCCCAGTGTTGCCGCGTGGGCCGACGTGGACAACGCCTTCTACAGGGCGAAGTTGCCTGACAAGATGGACGAGCATTTTTCGTTGCCGAGCGTGCGCGTGAGTTCGCTCCGACAGCTCGCCGAGGCGGCTGGGGTGGACATCGACCTGCCCGACGCTCGCTTCAGTTCGCCTCTCTTGCAAGCGTTGCCGATGGGGTGGTCGTGGAGCCTCTACTTTTGCCAGAGGCTGCTGGAGACCACCGTGCTGCGGTCGGGGATCGACACCGGGCCGCTCATCATGGACCGCCACGCCCCCCTGCAGGTCCGCACCTCTTCGACCCAGCCTGGCGTGCACGTCGACAACGCGTGCATCGTCGGCGGCGACGGCGACCGCTGCGTGGCCGACTGCACCGAGGTCGTCAGCGAGCTGGAGCGGGTCGGCTTGAAGTGCAAGGGCGTCATGGAGCCTGAGGACCTGCAGACCTTCACTGGCATCACCTTCAAGAGGCGCAGCGGGCGCGTGGGCATCAGCCCGGGTCGGATGTGGAAGATCCGGCTCGCTCTGCTGTTCGTGGCGGACCGCCGCTCGGCCACGGGGGACGAGATCTTTAGCTTGCTTGGGCGCTTCACGTGGGCCGCTCTCTTGAGGCGGCCCCACTTTTGAGAATTTTTCAACAGGCCTGCGTCTTCGCCCGTGTCGCTGGACGCCGCCGCCTGCGGTTGTGGAGCCGCGTGGAGC